TGGGGTCATGGGATATAGACGATAGCTACCGACTCTATGCTAGTGCACAAAAATGTTCGTAATTTTTAGGTCAGTTGTTATATTTTCATGCCAACATTCACATGTTCTTCTCATCACACTTCAGGTAATAGATCTACGAAAATATCATAGCCAGGATAGACATAAACTCAACCCGTCTGGGCCATAGACAGTTTTGTCTATACCATGACGTCATGCAACGTGGCGCGACGGTCTAATTTTTAACACTTAGGCTAGCCCCAGATTTTAGCCCTGTACTTTTGTCTCTGATATTTATGGAGCTTAGGACCAGTTTACTTTATATAGCTTAGAAAGAGCTTTGCGTCAATAGCAGTTTAAATGGCGTCGACTGAAATGTGTGGGAGAAATCACATTTCAAAGTTGAGCTGCGATAACTTATTTGGGACGGTTGAGGCCAAACATGCTATCAATATCATTTAAATTTAAGGTATATGTAATTCTTTTTCGGAAAAAAGAAAAAAATAATACGGTAAAATTCTATATATGTGCATCTCATTTATGAAAAAAGAAGTAGAGTGGAAGTTAGTTTAGTCCGCGTGCGCGGCTGTGGTTGTTTTGAAGTTGTCTTAGGCCGTTATGGCGTCATGCTTCTACCAGCTATCGATTTCTCAGTATTCCTACAGGTCCTTTTGTTTTTCGTTTCAGCTTATGGATGATCTTATCTCCTTTTTGACAACAGTCTATCGAATTTATGATAAAGGACTGTCGAGTAAGACGGTCTGATAAAAGTTTATTAAAAACTGAGCTTCCGGTTTAATTTAAAATAATATCGACCAGGACTCTGAGGAAATTCATCCCAGGAAATTGCAGATGACATTGAAGTTTATATGTTATTTCATCAGTCGCTACTTTCTACAAGGTGTCTTTTCAACATGTTATCGGAAAGGCATCGAATGTTATTTTCTCTCGCGGATTTTTCATCGTGAACAAGACTGCCCTCGTGTGAGGAAGCTTGAGGGCACCCTTTAAGTCCAGCGGCAAACAAACAACCGGTGACTAAAGCTGGTCGAAGTGTGTCCACTGAAATTCTTACTACTTTTGGTACGAGACATTTCTTTTGACATTCATGAGGAAATTTCAGATGATATTGAAGTAAAATATGTTATTCCATCGGTCACTACCTTCCATGAGGTGTATTTTAGACATCTCACTGGAAAGGGATAGAATTTGATAACAAAACACGGCGAGCAAAATACATGTTCGCGCAACACATAGCGGGGCGCGAGAATAGTGATGACATGTCTGTTGCAAATGAGATTTGTGGTACAGTAATACAGAAATGAATAACAGAAATAAGGTAAATGAAGTTTATTGAGATTTTGAATTCTGTTCTGCCGTCTCCTTTGAAAAAAAAACCAGGCCGCCACAAGAAAGCTAGCAAAGAAAAACTTCGTCTCAATCCTCCCTCGGTCACATCAATTTATTTTAGTTTTGTCTTGACCAATCGTATCAAAGGAAATGGTATAGACAAACGTCACGGAAACAAAACCCTCACAGGTAAACCAACAATACGTTGTGTATGAATTTAAATGTAATTGGTATGATGCGAATTATATAGGATGCATGAACCGTTACCCTCATATTGAGGAGCTCAAATATTGGTAACTATCTTAAGGACGAACACAATCGAAGACCAAACAATCCTCACGAGCAATTTGCTATCCTAAAGTAGTGTCGCGGAGAGTTCGAGGCTCTTATTTATAAGATGCTTTTAATAAGAAAAAAAAGACCAACTTTGAATTCCATTCCTGCGAAATTGTTCATTTAATTATGTACATTTCTTTGCTTTACTCCATCTCATATCATTCTAATTTGGTAACACACTTTCCTTTCCTAATGTAACGTCACTAAAACTCATAGTAATTTTACAAAATGGTGACATTTCGTTGTCGAAACGTCATGTTTTAATGTCGCTTCTTTTTGTTCTGAACAGATGGAAGACTTTAATTATACTTGCATTTGCATAACATAGTTATCGTTTAAAGAAACAGTTGCTAAAACTTTTAGTTTATTATGATAAAAGAAAGCTATAACCTTATTTATACAAGCGCACAGGTGTTTTCTGCATTTTGACGATTAAAAACATCAGCAATTATTAAACCGATAAATTTAGTTTTGTTGTGGTCATAACAATGCTTAACACCTGGTGCTGAGAGTCTTAGCTTTTAATGGTCCGTTATAAATAAACGTTTTCAGTGTTTTGTCGGTACGACGACAATTGTCGACCCAGAGATATGCATCGCTCTATATCCTTGGGAAGGATACCGCTCAGGAGCTCACTCATAACTAAAGAAACTCGATGATATAACGTAAAACCCTAAACTAAGGTTGGTCAGGATGCTAAATGGAATTTTTTACCGGGAAATTTTTGTATCCCTGTTGGCAATTTTTGCGCTGAGTAAGTAAACCGCTTTGTTTTCGTTTGTTGTTGTTTTGTCTTTGTCTTTCACCTTTTAACGATTCGCGAGAGAAAAAGTTACGCCGAATTCCATAGATTTGACTTTCCATCCTTTCAGAGCTGATAAGCCGGTTATGTTATTTCTCGAAGACCGCAGCCCGAATGAAACGGCAAAAACAAATTAATCCAGTGCCCAGTTGTTCAAAGGGTGAATGCGATAACGTGTTGTTATTTTTCAGAGAAATGAAATATTGCTTATTCTTTAGGTTTAAAGGGTTTAAACTGCGGGAAATTACCGAACTTGAACACAGGCGCTTGCTTCGCTCATCCCGGCTCGAAAAAAAATTTTAAAAAAGGAGGAATATAAAACAATTTAAACGTCTGTGGAAAGACCATAATTTTAGGTATCTGTATGAAGACGTAAACGGTGGGCGACGGATTAAAGATGACGTCATAATTTGTCGAAGAATCTACGGACTCCTGCCAGAAGCTAGTGGGAAAATGTTCGGAAAATTTCGAAAATTGCAAAAAATGTTTCACTTTTATTTTACAAAAGGTTCTCGGCTAACTGGAAACAGTTTACCTGGTACCTAAAGCTGTTTATCGGTCAGTTTGGAATACTACTAAATGAAAGATAACTGTTAAGCCCAGGAGCTCGAAGCAAATTACTTTGTTCACTCTGCCCCTGTTCTCCGAACTGAAATCTTAACATTATGAAAGAGGCTAAAACCAGATCATGAGAAGGAAGTTGTGTCTTTCCCTACCCCCAGTTCCAAGGCTACATGGATAATTAATTACCAGCCCTGAATTTTTTTACGAACATAAATGAAAGAAACTGGCATACAAGCTCACGAGGAAGAAATGTCAAAGATAAAACGTGAGTGCTCGATGAATGAAATATTTCTGAAATCTTCAAAACTTTCCGAACATTTTTCGACCTGTTTTTGGCTGTTATTGTAATATTTGTTTAACATTGTAGCTAATGTTTTAATAAGTTATTGTTTTTTCCATGTTACTTTTATTGAGTACCGTCCGTAGTCCTCCGTCCTCTTATACAAAATCCCATGGTAACATAATTTTACATTCATACTGTGCTAACGCGACTTGCGCTTATAGAGCATTAGTTATTCAAAATGGATTTGTTTGATTTGTTTATTAATTGCCATTTTACCAAGTTATTAATTTCTTAATAACATCAAATGCTATTTCTCGTTATTTCGATGGCTGTTTTCTTTTTTGACATCCTCGCTGAGTATTTAATAACTTGCCAGGTACTCCGTTACTACCACACAGCAAGATAATATTTGATAACTGTGCAAAAAACTTCACTGTGAGCCTGAACTTTTTAAACTCGAACAATAATTATTTTGTGCGCACCCGAAGGGCTAGGGACGACCATAAGCCAACCTAGCGCAAGTTTAGCTTGTTTTGTTTTGCCTTTGTTCAAGCGATTCATGATTGTGTTTTCAGCTCATAGCAATACCGTTTTAGATGCGCCCTCATCATGCCTGCTGAAGGTTCACCTGACTGGCAGCTCATATGAATGTCACTGTCATATGGATAACAACTACCATAATTGCACGTCGATAGGCAACCATCAAAACGAGAATTTAAGATGTAAGAAATCCACAGTATGTTTACCTGAGCACGGTACGTGCTACAAATGCGATCTTAAAAGGATGCAACGAACCATCTGTTGTGATGACGTTTCAACTACAGGAACACCTCCAATATTTAAATGTGGGGAGAGAAGGTGTTCACAAAACTCCGAAAGCAGGAAAACTTGTAGGTATTACAAAAAGACAACAACAACCCTAAATCTAAACATTCAACAAATTTTGATTAATGCAAGTTGCTTAGTTATTGACTCAAAAAATGATTGCATTAAACGTTTTGAGTCTTCAATCCACGAATAATTAACACTCTCGGAAACTAAAACCCAACGCAGTGCCTTTGTTAAGGCCTAAAAATTGGACCGACCCTCTCAGGGAGGTTCTAGGCATGAAAAAGCATTTCGAGAGAGCAAGAAGTATTAAAAGAAAAAAAAATTTAAGCAAACGTAGCCTAGAAACAGCATATTTATTGAACCGAGCTAAAACCTAGTAGTGGCTAGAAATTGTTGAATGTGTGTTACGCTAAAGATAACGTTTCTCACGAAAAGAAAGTTAATTGTTAAAGAAATGATAAACTAAAATTTTCAATAATCTGGTTTTGCAAAAAATAATTTAGCTACAGAAACCTAATTTACAGTCTGAAATTCTCCGTGATACAAGGATTCAAATGGCCAGGAAATAGTTCTGTTATTATGGAATTATAAATATTCAAAATTTCCTTCCCTAATCTTTTACAATACAGCTATATAGTTTAGCTATAGTATTTAAGGCTCATGTTGATATAAATTATACTTTGCTAACTTTCTGAGTCACCTGTACTGAGCAATTCATGTCTACTTTTTTAAAGTAAGTTATGCTTTAAAATATTTATCCGTCTTGACTTTGTTTGTTTATCACAATTTACTTTATTTGATGTTTTTTGTTTTTGTTTTTTTTTTCGTTTTTTTGTTTTAATCACGATCAGCATCATCGTCATCAAAAGTATCATCAAAAGTACTGTCAGCAGCAAAATTATTATCAACATCCACGTCATTAGCATCATCGTCAGCAGCAGAAAAAGTTTCTCCAACTTCTTCGGCATCAGCAGTTTTAAGGGAAGCGACACTAACAACAGCATCATCATCATCAGCATCATCATCGCCAGTTTCTTCAACATCCTCCTTATCCGTAGCGTCAAAAGTAGCAACGCCAATAACAACATCATCGTCATTAGCATTATCGCCAGAAGCTGTAACAGTTTCTACCACATCTTCGTCATCGATAGTATCAAGCGTGGCAACACTATTAACAAAATCATCCTCGTCAGCATTATCATTGCCAGGAGGAGAAGTTTCTCCAACATTGTGGTCATCAAGAGTAGTGACGCCAATAACAGTATCATCGTCGGCAGCATTGTCACCGGTAGCAGGAACAGTTTTTCCTTCATCTTCGTTATCAATATTATTATCAGTACAAAAATTATCCCCAGCATCATCCTCACAAATTGTATCATCAGAAGCAGCATTATCACTGACAACTTTGTCGTCAATAGTTTTGTCGGCATCAACGTTTTCACTTAAACCTTCGTTATTAATTGTATCATCGGGTGCAATGTTAGCGTCATCACCATCGTCAAAAATTTCATCAGGAAGATCATTCTTACCAATACCAGCCTCATCAGGTCTATCATCAACAGTATCATCATTCCTAGTGTCTTCGTCAGCAGCTGTAAAACCAACGCCAACATCATCACCATCACCAACACCAGAAACATTTCAAAAGCTGGTATTCTTTCTTTATCTATCTATCGTAACATAATTTTTTTCTCATTTTCCAAGCCTTTTTATGGTTTACATACCTCACTATCATTTTTCGGTCTCAGGCAAATGATGCTGTTTCAGAGCTCGATAGCCTAAATATCACCAGCAACGATTCCTTACAGGTATGTGGTTTCATCAATTATATAAAACGCCATCTTTTTAATCTAAAAGTGTAGCGAAAGAACAGCTGCAAGCTTCGAATCGATATGAAGGTGGTATAAAATATAATACGTAAGCGCAAAAATTTCCATGCAGTGTGGTATTACGTTTTGCAATATTGCTTTAAGCATTGCTCTTATGTTCATTAAATTGATAAAGATGTTATTCCCTCTGTTTCTGATTTGTTACACAGCTATCCCAGAAGGACGAAGACATCCTGGAGATTATCACCTACCTAGGCTTAAGCCTTTCCATCATCGGAATGATTCTAACTACAGTCATGTATTCCTTGTTCGCGTGAGTAATAAATATCAAGTTTCTTATGCCTTTGATTGGTTGAAACTATCAGAGAAAGATATAGAAATCACCGTGGTATATTTTTTCTTAAATTAGAGATGTTCATGAACCTCTCCCTCAAATACGACTGAGTCTCACCGCGTCGCTCGGAGCTGGTCAAATAAGCTTTTTCGCTGGAATGCACGCCATGGATAACCCAGTGAGTGACTTCTACTCACATTCACATTAATTAATCCTATTACTGGTCTCGCCAGTTATATTATCAGGACTTTTTAAAAATATTTTGGTATCTATTTCGAATTTGAAATTTATTAAATGAAATTATTATTGAATTTTTAAAATTTATGAAGAACGAGAAAAAGAAAAGAACAGGAAAAACGTTTTTTCCTTTTTTTTTTGCAGGCCATTTGCATCACAGCAGCAGTTCTTACACAGTATTTCCTGATGGCTGCTTTCTGCTGGATGCTAGTGGAAGGAATCTACTTTTACTTGTTTATTGTGAAAGTTTACAACTACAGCAATAGGTTGATAATGTATCACGTCGTGGCATGGGGTATTCTCCTTTAATCTATAATTACTTTTATTATTGTTAGCGCTGATCTACTGTATTTTGAATCGATTTATTGCTGACATGATTTCACGCTAACTTTGACCTCTCCCTCTCTTTGTGTGCAGGTTTCCCCGTCATTATGGTCAGCACTTCTCTCAGCATCGCAATTGGAAAAGGAGGGATTCAAAGCTACACCAGCGATAAATAGTAAGAAACAAAGTTTACGTTAACTTCACCTTCTGTTTTGCTTCCTCTCCATGTTTTGGTTAATCTCTGATCTGGGTTTCCTTTTTTTTTTTTTAAATCACTTATATTTGTTTTTCGTTTTGCTAACACCTGTCCTTTTGCTTTTTTTGCTAACTTGTTCATTTCCTCTTTCGTTCTTTCTCTTGCATTCCTTTTCAGCCTTCAAATACCATCATCTCTTTAAGTCTCTTTTTCCTTTTTTCTTTTGGCAGCATAGCGCACTACTTGTCCACATTCCCCCTGAAATTTTTTTTGTTTTTCCTTGTTGTTTTATTCTATCGTCATTTTAGTTGTTCTCAATTATGAGCTGTGATTTGATTTTCACTTGATTTGATTTGAGATTTTTTGCCAGTTTCTCGTTCCCTTAGCTTTGTCTTTCCTCTTTTCTACTTTTTTAGTTGTTGGTTGTCGTCAACTTATGACTTGATCTGGATATTTGTCGCATTTCTGACGGCAACTGGAGTTGTAAGCTTAAAATCAGATTTTGCAATTCGATATCAACACGTTCCTTTATTGTCGTTTTTTTCCTTTCTTTTATTTATATTCATTTATTCATTTAATTTTTTGTTTTGCTTTGATTTTTTTAGCTTGGCAGTTTTATACTCGCACGTGTCACAAGGGAGTTGACCACATTGCCGCAAATTGGAGCCAACAAGATTCAGCGAGTCCGGTTAGATGGAACGTTATATCGTTCCTTTTTTTTTGGTTAAATTTTTTCAAAGGGATTTTAATTGGGCAACTATCCAATTCATTTATCTTGCGGACATCTTTTCTTGACTAGATGAAAATTGGCATATAGATATACGAGACATTGAGTGACAAGTGAGGAGTGGTTTAAGGGTTGATATTAGCTATGGGAGAATAAAAGCTTTAGGTTGAAGAAGGAGAGTTTAGTAAACTCACTACTTATTTTCCAATCGAGTCTTATTTTCTGTTCTCCTGCCAAGTTTGATAATGATGGGCAAGCCAAAAATCATAGTGGAAAAATGAGAAATCTAAAAACAATGTTAAATGGGGTCACCACCCTTTCCTTGCCCCGGCAGCGACATTTGCATATTTATCTCATAATTTTAACATCATCTAGTAGACGACCTGCCACCCTGCCATCTCGTACCAAAGCTGGGGTAAGGGTGTGCCTCTACTTCCGAGGGTTAAGATGGCACTATTGGCATGATTTTGTATTTGGTTATGACGGTGACAGCTAAAGTTATTTGAAAACTAGAAATAATTATCGTTTGTCCTCTTTTAGAGTTGCCATCAGAACATGTGTTCTGATGATTCCCCTTCTTGGTATCACGTGGTTGTTTGGTCTTCTGTCGCCACTACACAAGGCTTTCACCTACATCTTCACCATTCTCAACTCTGCTCAGGTTTGCTGTAAATTTCCTTGGTAAAATTAATATAGCCATGCTAATAAAAGTAAGAGTTTGAAGCCTCTAAACAAACGAAAAAACCCATCTATCAGGAAATCAATGTAGTAATAAGACCGTCGGTCTCTAGTCAGTCCTTCCTCCTATCCATCTATCAGTCATTCCTTCAGTGTTTTGATCATTTTGATAGCCGTTTAGCCAATGAATAATTTCATTAGTCAGTCAGTCCCTCAACCGTCTGTTTTTCTCCCTTCATAAACTTACAAAGTTAAGTTCAGCTGAGTTAATACCTGCCCTTTTTCGCAAAGATCTCTTTACTAGTCATGATATTATATTTAAAGCAAAAAAAAAAAAAAGACTTATTACCCATAATTACATTTGTATCGTAGGGTGTCCTGATTTTCATCCTGCACTGTACGAGAAATAGTCAGGTAGGATCGAAACTAAAAAGAAAAAATTTCGTAACATTGTGCAAATTATGACAGAAAGTGGCCCACTTGAATAACTAGATTTCAGAACTCAGCAACTGATTCATGTTACCTTATGTTTATTGACAGATAAGGGAGCGATTGCGAGGCAAAATTAAAACAATGAAGATTGCCCCGATTAGAGCTCGAATAAAAGCTCGAACGAACGCTGTTTCCCCATAAAGATGAATCCAACTGATGGTGGTGCAGTTTGGGCAACTAAATTGCACCCATGCAGCTTATATGAGCTGAAATAGGAATATCATTAAGTAATGGATTCGATAGGCGGCGGGTAAAAGCCGATTTTTATGTACTATGATTTTAGGCCACGATAATTCTCCAGTCGCAACTGATCAGTTTCCGTTGTCCATCTACTTGGTTGGATTGTTTTTGTAAATCAGAAAAAAAGAAAATAAGTCTTTCATGGGGAGGTAGAGACTGGTGACGTTTGTTTATCAGAGTAATTAAGTGATTCAGCCTATCGCAGTCTTAAGCTGAAGTAAGTTAGAGGATTAGTTCTGAGTCAATAGAACAGTTTACCACTCGGCAATTCAACATCATTGATTTAGCTTAATATGCGAAAACTAGATACTTTACTAATGTATGAATCGCAGCCAGATGTTAGATTACTTACATTTTAGGATAGACTTGTAGACATTATTGTACAGAGCAAGACTCCACCACGCTTTGAAAAGCTTTAGGTTGTATTGTTATTGTTAGACAGGAAAATAAAATGTTACTAAAAAGAGAAAAAACTGACGGTTGTCTGTAACAAGAGTTTACCCAGACGCATTAATGCGAAATAAAACTATTCCTAGCTCCCAATCCTTGACATCAAAAAAGTTATGACATCTGCTCGCGTGATCGAATATCCCACAGCTGAAATTGGGTGATATTCAAGAATATTATCTAAGGGATATTCCCCAATTTTTAAAGTTTACATCCACGGCGATAAGTTTTCATTTCAAAATTAATTCAAGATGAGAGAGGGTTTCTGGTTGTTGCAGAAGAAAGGAAATCTTTTTTTGGCCATTAAGTTATACCTGAGGATACCCAAAGAAAATTACAGAAAACATCCCGAAGTAAGCAGGGAAAATATATACGGATATCGGGAGCTGTCTGAGGACATTATCTGTTCCAAAACAATCTTCGTGAGCGAAGTCCAGGAAAACTGTTAGCCGAATAACCAAATTAATTAAAAAATTGTTTTTTCCTCTAGATTAGATAATCCTTTTTGAGCCCGTGAAATAAAGATCCTATGCGTTGAAAAAATAATTTCGTTTAGAGTAATTACTACTTCTTAAAACACTTTTTTTAAAAAAGAAACGATTTTGAATTTTCTAGTAAGGTAACACCAGTTTACAGTGAATTTTTTCCATTTCGAGTCTGTATCTGGAAATTGTTTAGAGTTAACAAAAGAAGTAATGATATGGTTTTTTTCTAAACGCAGTTCAATGCTAGTGGCAATGCACAACACAACATTGAACAGAGGGGCCGAAAAATAGCTTGAAAGCCTCGCGAATTGTTATCGGAAATGATGTTTTTACTAGAAATTAAAAAAATTGAAAATATGAAAATATTCTACTCGTTTCTAGTGACTTGGATTTAACTGCTTTAGACGATGACTTTATTGAAAAAATATCAGAGGTTGACTAAAGAGTTAGCCCGGATAGTTGTGACAATGCAGAAGACCCCAGACTTCCACGTCCTCGAGGCGTTAGGAAGAGTCGCCGCCGCCGAAGAAGTTCACGCCGTCGCCGTGGTTAGAAGCGAAACTTAACTATTTAATCAGTTTTAACCAGAAAGCAGGTATAACTACGTAAAAATAGTATCCGCTGCTACTTCCGCATAGTAATTGGTCGGGATGACTACGTTTAAGAACTCTAATCAACTGAGAAAATTGTCTCTGGTTATGTTTTGTGCGGATTAATGAACAAAAAAAACATCAAACACAAGAAAGCGCTGGATTTTATTTCAACTCAACTTTGATACACAGTTGGTTACCTAGAGTTCTTGGGCGTTAACAGTGCAAAACAAATGTATCGGATCATTTGTCAGTTCTTCTGATTCTCAACGAATGTTCAACAGTTCCTTCGCGAAATAAATATCTAGGTTACTCGTTCTTTGTTATTTTCCTTATCAATCTTTTCTACTATTTTCCTTTTGCTTTTAACAGAATAACAAGGTCTATCGAGGGTGGCCCAGTTTTAAAGACTGATGGGAACCTCAGCTACATAAAAATATCCAAGTAATAGCGTTCACGATGGAGTAATTTTAAGAAGTTAAATTTTATAGTACATGAACCGTTCGAACGTAAATCAAAGGGGCCTTGATTTGAATGTCAATAAAGCGCTAAGTTTTGCATTTTTTAAAGACAAATTTGTGATCATCACTCTAAACCGCTCTTAACTTCAATTCTTTTGAACAGAATTTAGATTCTTTCCGAAAGACTCATGCCTCTTCAGAGAAGAATTTATCATTTCAGATTCTTCGTCCCTAGAGGAGAATTATAACTCTGAAGCGAAGAAACCTGGTTCTTGAGGAAAGAACTACGGGTCTCCTCCCAAGGCTCAAGAATTCTTATAAGAAGAATCTCGTATATGTCTGATTCTTGTTAGAAGAATAATAGTTTTTTTGCATTAAGAACAACATTATTTTGCTAAGAACCATTTAATTTTGCATTCTTCTGAAAAGAAACACTGCTCTTCTCCCAAGATGATATCCATTCAAGGAAAGAATTGTGGGTCTCCTCCCAAGGTTAAGAATTCTCATCAGAAGAATATCATGTATGTCTGATTCTTGTTAGAAGAATACTAGTTTTTCCCCACGAGAACAAAATTAATTTGACAAGAACCAATTAATGAGGTATTCTTCTGAGAAGACACACTGCTCTCCTCTAAAGATGATATTCATTTAGCAGAATCTCATTTTTTAAGCAAGCTTATCAGAAGAATTCCTTCTTTTCCCTGAAGACACAATATTTGTTTGGGAAGAATGTCAGTTTCTGACTTTCTTGATGAGAGTATTTGTCCTTCACTTAAGAATGAATTTTTGTTTTTAAATTGATTCTTCTTCATAAGAGATTGACTTTGCTTGTGTGAAAAATCGCATTCAAAAATATTCTTGCTGATAAAGTCTTTGTGCTCTTCTGAGGTCTGAATATTGTATTGAGAAGAACCTTTTACCTTTACGAGGTTTTGATGACTTATTGAAAGGATTGGTTTTCCTCTAACGCAGTAAACTACACTGAAAAGATTCTCATTTTCTTTGGATTAATTTTTTAATATGCGATCAACCTAACATAAAACTAACTCACGTATTTATAATGTATGCATCAAGTTATCTTTGAACAACTGTATCAGCACTCACAGTATCGAAAACATTCATTAATTATCACCTCATTTTTTGTATCTTATAATGACATAATATCACTTTTAAACCATACCCCATTTTTTATCTATTTTTCAACATACAGTTCACAAAAATAAAATTAACTTACATATTCACAATAACATGATGTATACATCGAATTATCAATGAACAACTATATCAATATTGCCTGTTTTTGACAACTTTCAATTTTTATCTACATGTCGCATTCTTTGTATATTAGTTAAATATATCTTTCCCTGACACATTCACTATACCATTCATTACTTTTACAATCTGCATCAAACCAGTTGTTCTACGTCAATGAATTAATAGCATGCCAATTGCAACCCCTAGTCCTTTCCTATGACCTCTTCTCTGTTCACAAACATGATTGAAAGTGGAAGGGGAATACTCAATTTTGAGTCATGCAATAAAAGCTCAATTTTGCTGCAAATTGAAGCCTTCAAGTACATAATTCAGCCCCATTGAATTGTAATTTATCCTATTGCTAACCTCGAGCTCTACAACTGAAATTGAATTTGTCAGTCTTGCAATCTGTAGATTATATATGAACAAGGTTCAATCAGTTCCTGAAGAGCACTTCCTTCTAACAGCTTTGTTTACAGCATGTTTCCAATGAAGATTAGGTCCAATCAAGCAGGATTCAGTTTCTTGGACCTCATCTTATGGATACGAGATTCCGTCGATTGGTCGACACTGACAAGAACCAAGACCAAGAACCCACCTGACACTCCGAATAATCCTAACGCTGAAATCTCGTTCCTCGTATGAGATCGAAACAAGGCAACGACAACTTAATATTCGGTGCACTTTTTTGAAAGCCGTTAAAAACATTTAATGAGCTCGCGCAACCGAAATCGGATACCGGGTGTTATCAAGCGCTCAGCATCAACCGCGTTTCTCTTGCCTGCTAGTACACCAGATTCCAATGATAAAAAATTTAAGGAACATTTTGGAACTGCTCAAACCTCCAGATAAGCCTTTCGCTTCCAAAGTTGTTAATTTTGGTGTTGCGAATGTTCGTACGAAAATTTAATGTAAATTATCGCGGCTACGACATCATATTTCGTTTTCCTAGCAAATCTTTCATGCACCTACTCCACCACTGTATTGTAGCAAAGCTTTATCAGACTTCATCAGATAATTTGTTCTATAATTATCGAAGTTACTAGCAATAGAGGTTAACTTAATAAAATTTGGTTATAGGAGATTCTGCCGCTTATCTAATGAATTCTGAAATTGCTTAAGAGGAGAATATGCTATCTGGGGAATTTAGAGTACATTACTATTCTGCAAAAACTGTTTGGTGGTCTTATATTTTTTGTCTTGGTTATCGAAATCAAATGGCAGGTTCAATATAACTTCACATTCAAAATGTTGAATGTCTGACGAAATAGAGGAAGTCGGGGAAGTTTTTCGAGCGCGGTTCATGCGCGATTCATGCTAAAGCATTATCGGCCCAGCTATTTGATGGTTCTTGTATCATTATTCGACATACTTTCCCAAGTGAGAGAAAGACTAAGTTTGATGTAGGAAAATCATTCACTTGAAAAATTCTCGCCAACATTGCTAAGCTTTCAATTGCAGTTTTGAAAGATTTTCTTACAACTCCATGCTGTTCTACAACAAAGCCTAGGCTTCAAATGTAATCTATTTTTTTCGCTCTGTTTTCTCTTAAAGAAAAATATGCATAATAAAGTATTGTCTTATTTGGTAATCTAGCCACACTTTGTTCATTCGCAAGGTCGAAGCAGGACGAAAGATCTCTCACTGGAAGAAACTAAATTAAT